GTTAGGTGTCCGAACCTTTTTCCTTCAAAATGTGATGTTGTCCATAAGGTATAAGGAATGTTTTGAATCCACAAGGCTGCACTTGGTGATATGTGTTGAATTTCAAGGATTTTTGTTTCGAATTCGATGACTGTGAGAGCAGCTGCAGCTTCCCAAAAAAGGGGAAGTAGTATTGAATTGTTGAATTCCTTGTGGAAACTTTCAGCCAGATAATGTAAGCAGAATCCATGGAATGCAGTTGGGAAGTTGGCTTCTACGCCATCCACGATACATCTCTTCCGGTTTGATAAAATTGTGAGCTTTGGCATGTTATCTGTGTTGATCTCGAGCAGCTTATGTAACTCGAAGAGGAACCACGTCCAGTTATCATCATTTTCCTCATCAACCACTGCAAATGCTAAAGGAAAAACAGCACCTTCTCCATCAAAACCAGTGGCAAGAAGTATGCTGCCAAGGTCCTTGCTTTTCAAACAAGTTTTATCAAGTCCAATGAGGGGTCGGCAGGCATTTAGGAACCCATAGATTGATGCTTGAAAGGAAATAAATAAGTGCTGAAAACTGCCATCATTAGGGTTGCTATAAACCAGTGCAATGCTCCCAGGATTTGCTTTTTGAACTTGATCACAATACTGAGGAAGAAGGCGATAATCTTCCTCGAATGAGCCGCGAATAGCAGCCATGATCCGTTCTTTTCCCCTCCAGGCTTGCTTGTATGATAGTGTAATCCCATGAACCCGGTGAATTTCTTCGAGTATCTCCTTTGGTTTGCATTGGGGATTTTGCTTGATATGTTCTGCCAATGTATCTGCAACCCATTGAACTGAGGCTTGTTGATGACCCAAATGTGCAATCCCAACACAAGTATGATGGTCATGGATAGTCCTAATTGAGAAGGTAGGAAGCCCTGGAAGCTTAGCAGCATGGATTCGCCAAGGACATCCTTCTGTTGCACATTTAGCTGTGAAACGAGTCTTGTCTGACTTGAAAGTCTGGACCTCAAACCGCAGAGCAATTGCAGCATTTCTCACTGCCCTCCGGCAGCTCTTTGCATCAGGGAACTCTTGTCCAATTGTCAATTCATGGTTCTCCATTTGAGCTAAAGATCGGATTTGAAGGACAGGAGGATCTAACACTAACTCAGCCTGCTCAACACTTTCTGTTGTCACTACATTACTCCTCTCCTGATTTTCCTCCATATTTACATCTACATTCTCAGCAACATCCTGGTTTCCGAAACCAACATTGGTCATTTCATGATTCTCTGACAAAGCCAAGTGATGACTAAGAGCGAGTTGATTATCATAGGCCTGAATATCGCCATTAAGGTTGTTAACACCAGCAGGATTATCAACTCTATCTAAATATTCTCCATCATCTTTAACCTGATGAATGTATGGATTTTGAGGAGCTATGTGATTCTCCTTGGTATAACCAAGCTCTAGTCCATCACCATTTGCATGTTCCCAACCCAAGTTGGGGTTACCGTGAGTACCCATATGCAAGTCACCCGAACCTGAATTATGACTCGAATCCATAGCCAAATTGTGATCATGTCCAATCCCCTCATACCCATCTGCCACTAATGATGAATCCAAATTTTGCTCGACTGGCAACTTTGAATTTGCCATAACTATTCAAACAATCAATCACAGTTACCACAATTTCCAGTACTATCCAGAAGAGACCTCCACCCACAATGTGTATGCATCAAGAAGACCTGTTAATGTGATAAAATATATGTGAATCAACATCTTCATTTTCCTCTAAGAACTGAAAATACACAATACAGACAAGCTTGTAATAGTAGGAGAACATAAAAACACTACACTAAACTATACCATTATCCAAATCTTCATTCCATTCAGTGAAAAATCAGGAGAAAAATGAATCCAATATGCCCCAGTTTTCTTTTGATGCTTGGATTCCAAGCAACCAAGCTTTCAAAAAAATAACAAATAAACATAAGAAAAACAAGAGCAGGCAAGTGAAAATCATAGAACAGATTTTCCCATCATAAAAGACAAATAAATAAACATGATACATATCAACACTTATAACCCCTAATTACAGCTATCCAAACTTTGAGTCCTAAAGATCTCACTTTTTGTTTTGGTTCCTGTTTCTATTTTCCCGTTAGTTGTTGTTAATCATATGAGTGAGAGTTTAATTACACTAATTCAAAACACAACCTTAGTTACATTGCAGTTTCTTGTCATTTAAGTATATCCTCGTTTCGTCAACCTCAGTTTTCTCAGCAACCAAACAGAGCGCAACGGCCGAGAAAAAAACAACCCGGAACTCTCGACCGAAGCCCAATGCCACTAAATTTCGCAACATTAGTTTCTTTCACAACTTTTTTTAAGGAATAAAAGAACAAAACATGCAACATGGGTGTCGGACACACTTATTTTCTTCTTGCGTTTTCCTTCTCTTTTTCTCAGCAACCAAACAAAAACGAGTTTGTCCATAATTAACACGAAACGAAACAATTCCCCAAAAAAAATATAATATTAGAATTACGTTAAAACGAGATCATCTGGATTCCACACCCATCTGGCAACATTGATCTCTTTTTATTTATATTTTTAATTAAACCCCCACGAAAAGGAACGGAAAACCGGCAT